AAAAAAAAAAAGGATAACCACAAGAGGTAGCAAAGAAGAAGAAAAACAAAAACAAGAAAAAGAGGATTTGTTCAAAAGACAGATATGTAGTGTTGATGCATAAAGAAACAAACAAACAAACAAAAAAAAGAGAGTATACAAACAAAAAAAGAAAAAAAGAAAAAAAAAGGAAAAAAAAACAGATATATACATCATATCCATACAGTCTCAGTCTGTCTTCTCTTCACCCTTTTTATTTTTTTTCTTTTTTTTTCGTTTTTCACCTGTATTTACCTATTTTCCTTTTCTCTTCTCTTCTTCTCCTTATTCCATCATTTTTTTTTTGTTGTTGTTGTTCTTGTTTTCTCTTACCATTACATTTCTCTCTTCTTTTGGTAATTCTCCATTAACTCCACCTTTTTTTCTTTTCTTTTCTTTTCTTTCTTTACACCTCACTCCATCTTCTTCTTTTCTCTCTCTTTATTCCCCCTTTCTTTTTTCCATTGGAGTCCACTTCACCGATTCGAAAAACTCCCCAAATACGCACATTACTACTCTTCTGATATATATATATATATATATATATATATATTCTTTCTCTATTAATCTCTCTCTCTCTCTCTTTCTCTTTTCTTAAAATATCGTGAGTGCCGCAAACACTGCATAAAAGAGAAAAATAGGATACATAATAAGATACCGTTGTCTCTCCATGGAAAGTCCATTTACAAACATAGACGTCGCACACCACGCAGACCAGAAAACAATTAATAACGCCGGCAACAACATTGTTTTCCCAACATATCCAAACATCCAATACAATAAAGATTGAAAGGCCGCAAGCACCACACTTGGGATAAGACAATACCCTAATGCACTAATCACAAACTGCAGAGATACACCGTGATCTGTCATTAATGTGAGCAGTACTTTTGTAAAGATAATACCCAACACAGAATGACTGTAAATAGTACTAAACTGCAATTTCCCCCGCAGTGAGAGAAGAAAGGCTAATGTAATCGCAAACACCACCGGACCCGCAAGATCTGTATCCTCCACTGCCTCTTGAGACATGGATTTAAATGGATTTAACACCGCTAACGCCTTACTGCGAATGTGTTGAGGGAATATACCTAATTCCTGCAATAGTGGAATATCATCTTCTGGATAACCAAAGCGAATGCGATGAAGTGGAATAGATTCCACCGCTGCGGTATTTCCACCATATGTATTCACATTCATCTCATCCTGCGGTAATAACATGTTTAGTATATGCGAAACAAAACCCCCGCGTAGTAGTGAAGGAAGTGGAGATGATGATGATGATGTTGGCATTTGCGGTGACTGTACTGATGTTGGTGGTTCCTGTTGATGATATATCTGTGGATGATACTGCGGCTGAGGAACTGTTGGGGCATGATCGCGAAATACCGGCGGTGATGGAACTCTTTGATGTTGAAATAGTTGTTGTTGTTGTGGTTGTTGTAATGGATATTGTTGTTGAGATTGTTGTTGTTGTTGTGGTACGGTGTTATTGTAGGAGGAGGATGAAGATAATGTCTTTTGTCCACGTTGTTTGTGTGGGGGACTATCTTGTGAGCTTTGTGGATTAGAGTCCACACCGAACGGCTTGAGAGAACCGCAGGAGTCTGTGCGGGATGTTGGCGGTGTGGCTACTCCCACCGTCATTACATGTGTATATGGTTGTTGTTGTTGTTGTTGTTGTTGTTGTGATTGTGGGGGTTCATATGAATGATGATAATAATCCTCTGAACTATGATAAAAGTGTGTCGCAGTAGTATTAGTATTAATATTAATATTATTATTATTATTATTATGCTTGGGAGGTGCGGGATGTGTAGTCGTAGTAGTTGTGTTTGTTTGCATAGAGGCCATTGGATCATATGATAGTGTTTGACCGCTCTCATCTTGTGGTTGATAGAAGTAAAAGCCATCTGTTGATTGTGGCTGTTGTTGCTGTTGATAGTATGGATGCTGCATGATGACTAGAGGGAACTAAATAATAATAATAATAATAATATCTAATAACTATATATATAATAATAAAGATTACAGCAGTGTAGGTATGTGTATGTATCTATCTTTCCCCTTTCTTTCTCTCTATCCCTATATATATATATATACAGAAACAAAGAGTAAAAAAAAAAAAAAAAAAACAACTAACAAAAAAAAGAAAAAAGAGATACAGTTGAAAGAATCACACATTATATATATATATAAACCATATAGAAGAATATAAATAAATAAATAAATAACCAAATAAAAATGATAATAAACAACTCCAGTATTACAACAGACATAATCCATAAAAAGAATGAAATACAATTCATTCCTTCTCACCGTTTACACTTCCCAATCAATCCAACTCCTCATCCTCGCAATCACTAGGACTGTTATGAATAGTATCATGTACACCATTCATTCCCATTGTAGATTCTACTCTGGTCTTTCCCTCCCGTTCATCACCACTCCTTTTACTAGTAGTATTAATATTATTATTATTATTATTATTACTATCATTCTTATTCTTACTCGTATTTCCATTCCTCATCTTTAAGAAGAACGTTGTACTCCACTTAATGGCGTTAGCGGCGGCTGTGGCCAATCCCCATGCAATCCCAACCGTTAAGCCAATCTGCACAAGACCATACATAAACGGTAAAGGACCATAGAATAGTAATACTATACAGTATCCAACTACAATGCCAAGCAACACAGTGGAAAGACGCTGTAGGAGAAAAGATGGGGCATGTCGTAACAGGCCAGTAGTGATAAGACCAGATCCAAACATTACACTTCCAATGGAAATATACAACTACAATCACAACAACAATAAATTACTACTTTATACAATAAATCATCGTTTAGATAAATGTGATATATATATATATATATATATATATATATAGATTCAAAGAGAGAGAAGAGAGAGAAAGAAGAAAAACGAATATACAAGAAAAAAGTACAGACACATGAATAGAAAGGTCTACAGAAAACATACATAAAAGAGACTCAGATAGTCCCTAATATAAATATATATTCTATTTCATATATATGTATATATTTTTTCTTTTGGGTTTTTTTTTTATTTTTTTATTTGCATAAGTCTTGTTGTTGTTGTTGTTGTTGTTGTTGTTGTCACTGCAAGATTGAAAAAAAGAAAGAAAAAAAAAAAAGAAAAAGACTAGACAACAAAAAGAAAGAAAGAAAGAAAAAAAAGAAAAAAAAAAACACACTGAAACCAATATCTAGCATTGAATAAACAGCGTATACCAAGGCACCTTACCTTTTTTTTTTTTACCGCACGCAATTACAAATAATAATAATAATAATAATAATAATAATAATAATAATAATAATAATAATAATAATCACTAATAATAATAATAACAATCACTAAAACACATCATTTATCACTCATCCTTTGCCTCTGCCACCCGTTTACTCTCCCGCATCTGCACAACCAACCAATCCATCGCCTCCCGCACACCAGTGCCGTCCAACGCACTAATCTCCGCCAATCGCATGATCTTTGTGCCGATTCCACTCGTTCCCGGTATTGTCTCTGCAGCCGCAGTCACTGCGGCATTCACCGTCATTGTGGAGGTGAGAGAAGCGGCGAATCCCTCCGAGTCCTCATCACCGCCACTAACGGAATGAGACTTTCGTCGAGAAGAAGTCTCTTCTAAACTAAATACATCATACACTTGATGCATAAGGGCCATCTCTACTAATCCAAGGGAATCTTGCATTTCTGCCAAGGAGGCATGTTCGGTGAGATCGGATTTATTAGATAATATTAAGAGAGGTGCATCTGCTAAGAGTGGATGACTAAATACTTCACGGAGAATAGATGCATTTTCAGCATATACTTTACGTCGTAATTGCCGTTGTTCCTCTCCATCACTTTTAAAAGAAGAAGAAGGTCTTGACAACATACCGTTTTGTTGTTGAGATATACGCATTGGAGGATTCAGTACGGTGGCAAGTCCTCTACAATTTGGAGAAGATAACATCATCATACCACTATTATTATTATTATTATTATTATTATTATTATTATTACTATTAGTATTATTATTAGTATGATCATCACCAGAACTCATTCTTGAGTGGGATGGTGAAAGAGACTCCATCATTTCTCTTTCATTACTATTTACCACACCATCCACCGTATTCGTATGAAAACCAGCAGAAGGATTAGAAGGAGCATTTCCATTATCACTAGTAGTAGTTGTTGTTGTTGTTGAAGAAGAAGATGTAGAAGAATAGGCCAAAGTACTATCGACAACAAAAATAACACCATGACAAGCGGAAAAGTAATTTGCCCAAAGTCCCCGCAGTGCCCCTCCCACATCCCACAACGTCAATCTAGTCATCATTGGTGTATAATGGGCAGAAATATCCGAAACGGAAGTTAATGAAACTGCCTGAGGTGCATGCGAGAGAGTAGATTCAGAAGTATGATCATCACTACGTTGACTCTCCACACTGCGACGACTAGTAGTAGTGTACAACTGCGGTGGAATTGTGCGGTGCGTTACTTTCGCCATGTTGAGTCCCACCGTTGGGCGAATCCGTTTTTTTCGCATCACACTAACTGGAGCCACCGTTGGAATATTACTATTACTATTACCATTATTACTATTACTATTATTAGTACTATTTTTCTCACCATATGTACACTTAATTTGTTCCATCAGTGTTGTTTTTCCAGATGACTCCAGGCCAATAATGAGAACTTTATACGCCTGTTCTGCAAAGAGGGAAGTGTACACACCCCAGGCGAATGTGAACATCTCTGTTGAGAACTAAATAGAATAGATGTGTGTGTATGGAGATATATAGATAGATAGATACAGTTATTAACGACTACCCACCCACCTCCTTAATCCACTCCAACACATACTATTCCAGATTCGTAGAAAGAGAAAAAAAGAAAAAAAAAAAAGAAAAAGAGAGAAACGCATAATAATAATAATAATAATAATAATAATAATAATAATAATAATAATCATAATAATAGCATAAGAAAAAAAGAAAAGAAAAACAAAGATAGTCATCCGATATATTTTAAACAATGTATATAGATATATAGATATTCAACTGTTTACGTCACCCTTTATTGAAAGGAATTTTAAATATACTGTCATCAATAATCAAATTAAAAAAAAAAAATAACTGTACTATTGCTGTCAGGAGTAACTCTCTCCCTTCAGTAAAGAGGAATACCAAAA